TTACAGCAGCTGTGAAGAAAGTAGTATTATGACAGGACTGCTGCACTTCGAAGCCAGCTGTGAAGGCACACCCTTGCTGCCTGAAGAAGGCTCTCTAGCTCCTCTGTGTATCACTCAGCCCTGTCATCTCATCACTTATCAGCACTGCACTTCATTTAGATGGTCTCTTATATCTGCTGAGACCCCTTTCAGCTGTACCAGGGTCTTGGAGTTCAGATGAGCATCCAAGCTGACAGACCTGAGTGTTCCCAGTTTAGTGACAGTTGCCCTCTCTGAAGCTCTACATTTACCCTCTGTGGATAACAAAAGTGAAATGGAAATGCAAGGCACACAGAAAGGCTGACATGGAGCAGTTGTGTATTAGAGTCACACTGCGGAGGGGAGGTCCTGTGCACCTCCTGAGCTGCATCTCTGCCTCAGGTGTATTATCCTGGCACTTTTAGGTCTCTAATTTTGTATCTCTGACTCCTCAGAAACTGCCTTCAGAATGCTGCTATATCAACCCCCAAAATAATTAATGAGGCTTCAATTGTCACATGTTCTTTTGATGTCTTTGTTTCAAAGCGTTCAATAGAGACTGTTCTATTTCTGAGAAGTGGTAACAGTTGCTATGCCCACAGAGACCCTGAAAGAGGAGTACTCAGAGACCTGATGTATGCTTGGACACCTCTGGGGATTTTTAGCTAAAGGAGGTTTCTGAAAAGTAAAATCCACAAACTTCACCTGGCTTTGAATACACAAAACAAGAAAAGGAAATACAAAGTCACATATCAAACTATTAAATTAATTCACTATGTTTGGGTACATACAGAGGACTTATGTGATACATGTTTTTCCTGTATTCAATAATTATTCTATTTGTGTATACTTTGATTTTTAGTATCAATATATTCTGCTTATAGGCTGCCTCCTCTCATCTTTTTTGCTTCTGCTCTTTCCTTATACTGTGCTCATACACAGTAGCAGATAGTCTGCTTTCAGCATAGTGGTGCTGACAGCCTGCATCCATTCCAAGTTTGTTCAATTTCTGCTGCTTGGCTTGTGGTTGTATCTTTTTTGGTACATAGGTGAAAATTGAATATGGCACTAGTGTAATGTGGTTAAAAATCTACAAAAAATCAGTATATGACAAGTGAAGTGTTTACAAAGCTTTTCTCAAAAGAAAGCTGTGAAAAAATAGATTTGTTTGATTTCTACTTTAAATGACAGGTTGGTTTTGTAAAGACTCTTTGAAGCTCTACTTACTGCACAGCCATCATGGAGAGCTTTGATGTAAGGATTGTTGTCATAAGACATTTCTTCATCATTGGATCCTAAGAACCTTAGTGCTTTGTCATAGCTGTCAGAGGGTGCATCGTGCCAGGCTACAGACTGGTGACAGTTGTAAGTGAAATTTTGTCTGGCAGAGGCACTCAGTAGTTTAAGGAATGTCATTTGGACCATATTAATGGAATTGCCTTCAACATCCAAATAGGAAAGCTGGAAAATATAAAAAGTTAGATGAATATTTATCTGTTTTCTTTGGTACAATGTAAACCAAAATTATTGTTGACAAAAGAGAATCATATAACTGCCCTTAATAAAAATATCAACCAACACATAACATTTTATGAAGTTTTGAAGGTCAATACAGCTATGACTCAGTAAATATATTTTCATGATGTAGCAGTGTACTTAGGATGAAGAATTACATATCTCAGCTTTGTTCTACTGGGAGAGAACTACTTCTACCTTATAGTGTAAAGCAGCAGAGTCTGTTTGGTAATCTGTTTTTAGTTAATCATAAAGTTAGTCAGCTTGCAGCCTTGCCTCTGCATACCCAGTATATTTCCAGTAACCTAGACTGGGGTGGGGGATCTGTGCTCCAGCTGCTTTCCTAAGGTCAGACAGGGGCCAGATGCTCAGCACCAGCTGTGCAGGTGACCACTGGGATCACTGTGGGACAGTACACACCAGGCTTCTGCTGTCCAGGGCCAAGAGACCACATAGCTGCTGTGGTATTTAGGGCAAAAGGGCTACTTATAAAATTCCCTGTGATCTGTTCATTGCTGGAAACGTGGACCTGACTGTGAATACAGTTACACTGCAGTGACAACTTACAAGTTTGCCTCGCTTAAATTCACTAAACCAAGATCCTGGGTTCTCCTTTGGCCACGATGAGATTCTAACCTGTGTGGTCAAACAGCAGAGACAGAAGTTTTAGAAACATATTCTGACAGATATGAAGGTTTTACATTATTTGGGACAAATACCACACCAGATAATACAGAATGGTTCTTCCTGAAATCTCAGCCACTTTAAAGGTCTGAAATAGAATGCTTTTCTTGTAGAGAATGCCTTCAAATTAGTGACTTCAAATGGAATCCAGGAGACCATTAGTTCTGTTTGAGGGAGATGGTTGTAATCTGTTAAGAGCCAGGTAAGCTGCTGGTATAAATTGTTGCTGTGAAGTACCTAAATGAGTTTCACCAGTGTGGATGCTAATAGATCTCTGTCTTTTAGGCAAGATTTCAGAAAGCCTTCCTCTGTACCATATGCCTCAGCAAATGTAATCTATAACAGTGAGTAAGGACACTGTTAATACAGTCTTTTACATCTACTTTGCATATGAATAAGCAAATAGATATAAATGAACCCACAAGAGAAACACAGGAAGATTTAGCTTTGAGGTGACAAATACTAGACCATGTGTTGTAAGTGGCTGCTCAGCTGTGTTGCATTCTGAAATGTACTGAAATGTTAGCAAGCAGGTGCACAGATTCCCTGTCTAAAGCTGAAAATGGTATTTGTTAACTCTGTGTACCATTTTACTGCTCCATTCAGACATATGTAAATGTCAATGTAATTAGAAAGACAGATACATGAAAATGTGGCAATGTAATTATCCTGTTTAGTTCAACATTGTAACAGCATAATAGTAACTGTCAACAGCCAACTGAAAACACAGATTGGTACTTACTCCTTCAGATTTCTTATCTGGGTAGATGCAAGTTTCCCCACCTGCTGTGAAATTGCAGTATACTTTGAAGGAGTCTCCAGAACAGCCCTGGTTAGGATCAATCCAATATTCCCCTAAGACAAATGAGAAAATATTTACCTTATACAATAGAAATGGTATTCAGAAGAACCAGGCGTTACTGCTACCTAATGGTCCTCCAAAATTTGTAGGAAATTTATTTTATCTGAATGGTTTAGGTCAGGGAGCAAAATCTGGAGTGATTTGCATCCTTATCTGCATGCAGAGGTGTCTGCATGGGGCTTGCTGGGGTTGTAGCTGGCACAAGCCCCTAAAGGTCCCTGCCACTGAGAGGGATCCACCCCAAGCAAAGACCTTTTACTCCTGCGTTATGAAGCTGCAACACCCGTGAAGGCTGGGCATGAAAAGAGCTGCAGCCCATCCAAGGTCCATTCAAAGTCAGTGCTTTTTAAAATCTGCTATTCTAATGAGAATGATGATTTCTGTGATGAGGGTTCTTATCTTCATATGTTTCATAAACAGGGCAGCAAGCGACGTTCTGACAACTACAGTTCTAATCCAGTTTCAGACAAATAGCGGAGGTTTCAAAGAGAAATGACAAATCCTTTCACCAGTTCTGACTTCTGAATATAAGGCATAGACAAAGTATTTGTGGGGTTTAACAATTGTGTTGATTTAGGATGTATATTGAAAACAGTATTTCCTTACTGTAAGTCTTATCCCTGAAGAATTTTGAATTTTAATGAACACATTTGCTTTTGTTTTAACCAAAATAAGATTTCTTTTACATGAAGACAGCTCTAAAGAAGAAGCAAACACTGGTAAATGTAGAAGGTGGATGTGTTCTGTAAAAACCATTCCTTATAATGGAGGGTACTGAATTGTAAAATATGTACTTTTCATATAGCACTTACACTTCTTAACTACTCCTCAAGGCAACCATCTGTTCTTATCTATCTAGAGTGAAAGCAATAAAATATTATTAAACTGTCAAAATCTATTTTCCCTCCCATTTAAAAGCAGAAAATTATTACTTTGAACAGGGAAAAATATGCATTGCAATTGAAAAAATTATGAAAGGAGGAAAATTTAGTGAAGGCTGGCTTTCATTTAAACATTTTCAGAGGGGTAAAATTATTTAGAAGAAAAAAAGAAAGCAACAAAGAATAATAAAATCAAGATAGTTCTTAGGAACACTGGGTGTCTTCATATTACTATGCATTTTATTACACTACTACTTGGTAGCATTAAACAGTATCAAATAAACTTCTATGCTTCTTTGCTGGCTGATCTAGAAAAAACAGTGCAGCTGCAGTAGAGAAAATACTGCTTCCAGGGCTAAAACATTAGTAAAGTTTTTGAGAATCATTATTGAACATAAATCTCATATAATACCAATGCTGTTTCATATTGTTATACTACACTCTTTCATCACACTCCTGTTTTGATTGTCCTGGAAATGCAAGGCACACCTTTCAAAACAACAACTGCTTTTCATTCATCACTTTAACAGGTTTTAACTCAAACACCAGATCAGGTTATGTACTTACCAAGAGAACACGTGTACTCACTTTTAAACTTTTATGCCTGTAAAAATTGATTCAGTGAGACTGTATTTGGTGAGGAACTGTATGAGCCATGTACCAGTAATGGACTGATGGTCCCAAGTGCCTGGCAGAGGCAGGCTCAGCCCTGGGTGCCCGTGCTGTGCGCTCTGAACTCACCATCTGGGAAGTCGGGGTGGCAGAGCTGCAGATCTTTGCAGGTCCGGGCTGGGTTATTCTGAGTGCCCATGGGAAACTTCATGTGCTCAATGTCTTGCTTCAGGGAATTCAGGGAGCCAAAGATCTCCTCCATGCCATCAGAATAATCCAGAATGTTATCACCAGCATCAGATAACATATAGTCAGGAGATCTTCTTGTCTTCTTGGGTGACTGAATTGGCAGTGGCTGGATTACCTCACCTGGAGGGCCCTAAGTGGAAAACAATATATCTAATTATATCTTCTGTTCATTTTTCAGCAGAGAAGGACCACAGAATGTGGCTTGGAGATGCTTTGAATAAGCTTTCTTCAAGGTATTTATTTCTTTATTTCACCTTTTTTTCTTTTAGATTCATACCAATGTGCTTTGATTTACTTGAAGAAAAAAAAAGATTGTAAAAGGCCAAACCATTGTTGTGCTCTAAACTCTTCTTGCTACATTGCTTTTTGTGGATGAGTGTGCTGCCCTCACAAGTGACACACAGAACTGACTCACCCTCTGTATCCCTGTTTATTCCCTCAAGCACAGACATATTCTATGAAAATTGAAAACTCTGGATGGTTCCTATGATAAAAGTTGAAAATGCCACTTGGGGTCTAGGAAACAATATTTAATTTCAAGAAATTGAAGCACTTCACTCAGGTTTGGACTCTTCATTTTAGTTTGTTATGATATAAAAAAAATATGGAAACAAAAGAGTATCAGCAGGGGAAACCAGTAGAATTTTGTTCTCTGTGCTTCAATATAACACATTAAATAATTATTGCATGAGGAGCTTCTTTGTTTGGTGGGGAGGTTTATAGGGGGTTTTTTGGGTGTTCTTTTCATTTTATTTATTTGTTTTAAGTCTCTTCTGAGTCTTTCAGTGCAGATATGTATTTCTGTGCCTGCTGAATCTCTGTTTCCTGAAAAATGAATTTTCAAATTATCATTCATATTTTAGTTCCCAAATGTTGTTTTCTACCCTTGTCAAAACAGGTTCATCATGTCAGGGTAATGCAACATAAGAATTCTTACTTACTGGAGGACCAGGTGGACCAGGTAAGCCACTGTCACCCTTCTGACCAGCGGGACCCTACAGAGCAATGAAAGAAGTGCAGTGTTGAGCATGCTACATGAGGTTTAAAAATAACACACACAAAAGCTAAGGAAAAGAGGGGAAAGTGTAGAGGAGAGTTACTCACACTGGATCCTTTGGAACCTTTGGGACCCTGGGGACCCTGTGGGCAAGAACACAGAACTCTGGTTAGAGGGTATTGCACACAGCTTGGGGCTGGGTAGAATGGGAGGGCTGGATGAAATTACTTACAGGTAATCCAGGAGGACCAGGGGGTCCAAGGGGACCAGCAGGACCAGAAATTCCCTAAAAAGGGATAAGAGAATAAGCACAGAACTAAAGTATTCTACATATTGTACTGTGTTAAAAAATCATATCTATAAAAAAAGGTAGTCCCATTAAGTGCCCACTTGTGGTGACTTTTGAGTTAGGCTATTTGCTAGAGGCCAAAATAGTTAGCAAGTTTAAAATATTAGATCTGACAATGTGAGTTGCTTGTAGTTGTTCTTACTGACTGCAGTGGATTGTCAGAGCTGTGTTCCTCTTCAGACTGGCTTGGAAACCTCACATTTTACATAGTGCCCTAAAAACATGGCTTAGGAACTAGAAGAGTGAGCTGCTTTGGGTAGTGCAATCAGAAAATGTGATGAGATTGCTGCTGCTACTTTTATCTTGTTGCTAACTTGTTCTGTGTGCATGTTGGGGTGTATGTGTTTCCTTCATTTTCCAAAACCACTCTATAACCTCATTTTAAGATGTTTAATATTGCTGTGTTTGTACAATGCCTAAGAAAGTTTTAACCTCTTGCAGGAGACTCCAGGTGTTAAATGTTTATAACAACTTTATATTTTCCAGAAGCCTGGAATATACACTCCTTGCTTGCATGGAACTTGAATGGCACACAGGTATGTTGTACTCACTGCATCACCCTTGGCTCCAGGAGATCCCTGTGGGCCAGGAAGACCCCGATCACCCTTTTCACCCTGTTCTCCTGGAGGTCCAATCAGGCCAATCAAACCAGGATGTCCCTAAACAAGATTTTAGAAAATCGAGTTAACATACATTAAATGTGCTTTGCAAACATGAATTAGACCTTTCACATGTTACTACTGTTGCAGTCAACACAAATTATTCTAAAAGTATATTTATTGCTGCTAGATGGTCTTTCAAACTTTCAGATTTGCAAGTTGTGACTGCTTGTTCAGTGAAAGAGGTAAGTGCAAGGTTACCTTACTGAAACCAGCACAGAAATCACAGTACTCTGGGTACAAATTTCATGCCAGCTTTCACATGTAGCTGCTGTCAGCATCTCAGAGTTCCACATGTGATATGGTTGCACAAAGAGCTGATCCAAGGAGATAAACAAAACCCGCAGTTCACAAGGCACAGTCATGTCCATGCCTCTTTCTCTACAGGTTTCTCTCTGATACACAAGCAGTCAATGTATTGTTGGGACTCCATGGGAAAATACTATGCCAGATGTCTCAATCCATTATTTCAAAAGAAGGTATTATAGCTGTTAAATATTTATATTTTGTTCTTTTAAAACAAAAATTGTCAATACTCATAATTTCTACTCGCTTTGTTCTTGTAAATATGACAGTTCTCTTTACATCAGTACCTTTGGGATTTTCATTGCAGGGACCACATGGTCAATAGATTACCACACAGGCAGTAATCTTTTTCTTTCTAGGTGTTTCCAGGATATTGGGTATGGCTTAAAACGTCATGATGACTGTTAGGGCTGTGGGAAGTTGTTTGAAAGGCATGGCACAATGCCTTGCTGATACAAACCCCACTGCTTCTCTCTCCTAATTTTATACAGGGCTGAAGTTACAAAGACACAACAGTTGGCAAAGCATACCTTCTCTCCTTTGGAACCTGGGTCTCCTTTCAGGCCAGGCAAGCCAGGTGGGCCCTATAAATCAAGGGAAGTAATGTTAAAGTAAGTTTTAACATCCTGCTCAAATCATGTTTTCTTGAAATATTATTGAAGGCAGTTCAAATCAAAGTACACATTCAGTAGTTGATGGTTGTGATTGATGACATGATTTAGAACCCAAGATGAAATGTATGTTTAAAAAATCATAATGATGCTACAGTGGTATTTAAATTACTTTATAATTAGAAATCTATAAAGGTTGTATGAATAGAAATCTGTGGAGCAGAGGGCAAACTAAATTCTTGATTTGAGAAATCTTTAGATTTTGTAAGAATGGCAATGCTGGTTTTGTGTAATTTGTACATAATGAGGTAAAAAATGCAGGCCATGCAGTGCCTGTGAAAAGACATGAATTTTTCAGAGGCTGTTAATCTCACTCTGCATATGTGTCCATGAGGTGTAGAGCTGCTACATTAAGTCTGTGTCTCCTCACCACTGCTCTCCTGGTGACAGTGGACAACTTCTGCTATGGATAGGAGTGATAAGAGACCTCTTCCACCTGGCACGTATTCAAAAATGCCATAACATTTCATGTACAAAATATTATTCAGTGCTTATGCTTTCCATCTCCACTTCAGGATATCACTAGATGCAAAAGCCTAGACAAATACATAATTCATGAATGAAATGTGAAATTTTTAAGCTTTTGGAATGCAGAATCAGACTTTTCACCTGCAGTGTGTTTGTGCTCTACTGCAAATCAGGCTTCATACTCTCCTGATAGCAATCTTCTGTGGTGGATGGGAGGGGAAGGAGAGAAACCTAACCTCAGAAACTTCTACATATCAACTTTACTTTCTTAAAACCCAAAATTAAGCTGCAGCAATGCATTGAAAAATTCTTGTTGAGCTGACAGGAAGTCTGTGCCTTTGAAAGCATATGGTTCATTATTATACTCAGCTCCAGATTTTAACAGAATATTTAAGCTCTCAAACGTTAGAAGATAAATCTTTCAGTGATCTTTTTGGAGGCTTCTGTGAGTGACATGTGGGAAAAGGATGCTCACCAGAGGTCCAGGAGGGCCATCCTGACCTGGTGCTCCAGGCATTCCTTGTTCTCCCTAGAAAAAACCAAAAAGCTGGCTTTACCAGAGTATATTGAGGAAATGCAACATTTAAGATATGATGTGCTCCATGACTTACCACAGGGCCAGGAATGCCCCGGAGGCCCTCGGGGCCAGGTTTCCCTGCAGGTCCCTGTGGCCCGACTGGCCCTGTTTTTCCAGGAGCCCCTTCTGCACCAGGTTCACCCTGGAAAGAACAGACCAGGTCAGAGAGGGGGGCTGAGTTTGGCACTGGAGGGATGTACAAGAGGCAAAGTGCTTTTAAAAGCCAGAGTTCTGCACAGGGTGATTTCCTGAGTGAAGTGTCTCTGGCTGCACAGAGAGCTGGGTGCCAGCAGAGCAGGTTCCCCTTGCCTGTTACAGGTGAGCTGTGCTGGCCTGCACTGCTGGGTCCACTCCATTGCAAATTGCTACTAATTCTGGGTCTGAATTTGGGTTTTACAGATTGCCTGTTATTACTTTGAAAAGTTCCACACTCAGTGCATCATAAGCAATTAATTTTTAATTTATAAATAGTTTATATTCTATGCTTCAAAAAAAAATTCAGTGTATTACCTTTGCACCTTTTTCACCTTGTCTGCCTTCAGCACCTGTTGCTCCAGGAGGTCCCTGTAAAATATGGACACTCAAGTTTTTTCAAATATAACCAGTGAAAAAAATTATGAAAGTGAAATTGCCACCATATTAATAAGTAGCAAATGATTACAAAATAACATTAAATTTATTTTTTGACATTTTATTCACAGCCTAAAAAATACCAAACAGCTCTTATTCTCCTATAAAATTTTCTGGTTCTTTAGAATATCTAAAAAATGATGAGGTTCAATTTGTTTGGGAAAACAAAAACAACAACAACACCAAAACAAAAAAATAAAAACCAAACCAACAAAACATCAAAGAAAAAAAGGCAAAACTAGTTTATATGTACAATAACAATTAATTTTAAACTTGCTTTGCACTGACTTCTATTCACTGTAGTTTATCCACTGATTCCAAAAAGGCCTCTTTCTACAGTGCACAGCATGGCAAATACTTCTTTAATCTCTAAGTCAGGGATGGGCTCAGTCAGGGGTTCTGATTACATTTGGACAGCCAAAAATTGACATATTATCCACTAAATATGAAAGTGTAAAATAAAATGACATTTTTCTCCTCCAAAAAATGAAGGGCTGATTTTTAGGTCAGGTAATTAATATTCATAGCTTCAGTTATGAACAGGAGCAGTGTCTAGAATTTAATGCACTCTTCTGAAAATGGTTCTCTTATATGCTTAGTTTAGAAAAGATGCACTCAAGATAATGGACCAACTGTTCTCCTACAAGGTTAATTTTTAGCCTGGGAAATGTCTTTATTACAAATAGCTATTTCTTGCCAACCAATGAGCAGCTTAAAGGAACATGAAATAAACGTGACTATGGTCAAATGCTGTGATTTTGTGAATCTATATAATACTCATCTGTTCATTAATGCAAAAAGCAGATTTTTATGTAAAAAAAATGTTCTGAAGATTAGCAACTAGAAAAATTCAATCACATTTATTTACTGCTTTTTATTTCTTAACAACATACAGAAAAACAATTCAGGGTGCTTAATGGTAAAGCACCAGAACACAAATTTAATTTTATAGATAAGAACTGTACTTCAGTTACGCATCTGCCTGTTTGCTTTGTGAGGTCAGGGCTTTGGATCACTGTTTGACCTAAAGCCATTTTTTATACTAGAGCTGAATTTAGCCCAAACTTTTTATTGCCTGATATATTTCACTATCCACTGCTACCTTGGCACATACCTTGAGCAACTCCACTGGTTTTAATTCCTGGAAATTTATATTCATTTTATAGCTATTTACATAGAAGTATATAAAGATCATTCAATTGCTTCTGAAATTAAGCTTTCTCCAGGGTGACACTGAACATCTGCAGCACTGCATGAACCTTTTGGCCAGCAGAGATAGCTCAGACTTTACATCAAAGGTAATACCAAAGGAACTGAATTAACCACAAGAGAACTTTGACCATTTGATGTGGGTATCAACAGCTTTTTTCTTTGGTATTTTTAAGAGCTGTAAGGGGTAAAGGGCTTGGTTTTATTTCTTCAAAATACAGAGAAGCTTAAATGCCCTATGCTAAATATTGACTCTTTACAACAGGAAGAATATTTTAAATCCCAGCTGTTGCAATAATGATAATGTCTGAGGTATGTAACCCTTTGTGTAGGTTGTAATTTGTTGAGTAGATCAAAGTTTGCAGTGATAATAACAAAGATCAACAGGTACATAAATAAATTCAGAAGCATTTTAGAAACATGACTTTTTCTTACATGAATTAATTTACATGCCCATTTTCATTACTTGCCTGAAGGTCCCATATGGATTATAATCCACCCTATCTAAGAAACTGAAAAGGGTTGAATGTGGCAGTTTCTACTTGAAAAACATGGTCTCTGCATAATCTAGAAATGAAGCTGGAGCATGAATTAATTAGCAGGGCTAAGCCCACTGTGATGGCTAAAATACAAGTGCAATGCCTGGTGTTAGCAGCAGTGCCAAGGCTGCCCCAGGCAGGGAGCTGCTGCAGGAGCTGCTCCTGCATGGCTGGCCTGGCTCACTGCTGCAGACACAGAGAGCTCTTTGCAATTCTCTACCATGAGAGATTTTTATGAACATTGCCCTGTAATTTTGGACATACTGCCTGATACATTTTATGAACCAAGAAGACTAAAGGAGTCATGCAGAAACAAACTCGTTCTCAATTTTTGCTACGTGAACCCAGTGAATATTTCTCTCTGTTCTTCCATATTTTGTTAAAATAATTTCAATTGTTGTTTATAGCTGTCATCCGGCTTAAAACATGATTTCCAACACAGAAAAACCATTACCACATTTCATTAGCCTGTTGTGATAGGAACCTAGGATGTTGTTAG